ATCCATTCTCGTAAAGATTGAATGTTGGCAGGTATGCACTCGTATAAGAAGCAGACTTGAAGGAGTAAATAACCTTATTGTGGTTTCCCCAGACCTTGTTACAAATTCCAGAGAAGGAAGGTATTGTACAATTTTTTTAAATTCTTTTTCCCCTTTGACATTCCCTAAGAAAACTATTATGCAATGGCCAATCCTCTTATCTCAAGTAGACTACGGTCGATGATGAAATAATTTTTTGGTGTTTCTGGAAGGCGTTGTCTTCGAGGAAGCTGGTGCGTTTATAGAGATCATCGAATTTTGCGAACGGGGAGAAAAAAAAAACTCAAAAAAATCCGGTCAATGACAAGATGGTCGTAGACTCGAAACGAATCAAAAACAATCCCACGCTTCGTGTCGCAATGGTACGCATTGACCTTGTTTAAATTTGATTGCTAAGAAGGAAGGATGATTCGGATCTTGATGGCTTTATTTGCCTATTGCCACAGTAACGGGAGGCGTAAATGGTAACGGAAGATCTTTAGAAATAAAACAAGTTTTGTCGGGTAGAATTTTAATTAATGGATGTCGCGGATGTAGTTGTCAATACCTGAAAACGTTTACTTTCCTGATTATGACATTTCTAATTTTGTTGAGAAGTAATAATCAATTTATAATTAATGGCAGAAATCGGCATTGCTTATATAGCTCAGAGGAATATTAATAAACATGTATAGATAGATGGTTAAACAATTTATTTATAGCGGAAGTTAAAAAATCACTTTATGTTTATAAAGTAAAAAATTTATAAGAACAAAAATTTTACTATAGCAGATATGCCAACTTGCTCCGGAGAGCAAATATATATTTTAAAGTGGTAGTTTATCAATTGTGATTCTTGGCTTAATAAATTCAATTTAGTAGATTTTTATCCACCACTATTTCTAAATAATTCGTTGGCTTATATAATTTACCACTTAATAGTATATATGTCGTGCTACACCTTTTAAAAAGCAAGCAAAAATAGTCACATAATTACAAAATTTACGTTGTAATAATTTACTGCTTTTTTAATTATTTAGGCGTGTCTGAAGCAGTTGGGATCTCTGCCTATAGCTTCAAAAATAATATTAAAGCGCCNATTGCATTAATAGCATTTTCAATTCCCTTCATCCTTCAAGTGAGTTCATTTTATTAATCACCTCCGGAAACCGGTTGTGCGCTAACGTTGACATCGGGGTCATTCTCATCGGATGCGATTTTTCCGCTTGCGAAAACTCTCACACATACGAGTACCTTATTGGCTAGTTGTTCGCATGTAAATATTTTCAACCAATCAGATTGTCATTCGCATGATACTCGAGTGAGAATGGACCTGTGTCTATTCGACTGAGATAGGATTTTATCAAGCTCCAATTGTATAAACGAAATGCTGTATCAAATGCATATGCGGATGTTTAGTAAGTATAAGTACTAACTCTGAATAAGCTTATAAAGTGTAGAGTACAAAATATTGTCAAAAAAAGAAAAAAAGAATCGATTCTTTTTCAAAAACGAACTTGATGAATCGATTCACAAAAAAGAGTTGATTGAAATATCGATTCGTTCGTTTTTCGCACATCACTAGTTATACGTCGCTATATACTTTTATTGACACCAATGGCATACCTGTTAACTTTTAATCCTTTCGGGGATGATTTTCCTTAGTGGTAGATTAATGGAATTTAAATTACAATTTAAAGCAGAAATATATTAGGAGGGCTATTGCGGTATTCTGAATTGGATTATAAATTTATATATATGCTTAACTTTTTTAAAAATAGCGGTGTTCAGAAAGATTAAAAATGAAGTTTATAACTGTAAGGAATATATAGAAAGCATACATTTTACTACCACTTTAAATATAGAAATAAAATTTTACGCCAAATGCGTAAAAGTTGGCACGTATGCAATGATGGTTATTTAGTTGTGGCATTAAGCACTACTGAGTATTACGGTAATGTTGCAATTTAAATACGTTCCAAGTATATTAATAAAGGCACAATGCATTGTTATATTAGTTTATTTAGTACCTGTTAAAACTGCATAAATACTGTTCAGTTTTAATATGTATACAGGAGAAAAGCTCATTCATTACCATTCCATAAAACAATGGAAAAGTCCATTGTTTTACGGTCCATTGAAAAGCATACTTATCCGCGAGAAATTGCTTGATTATGTTCATGAGATGACCCACACTCTCTTTTGAAGGTAGTCCGATTAGACCACTATGAAGGTAAACAAATTGGTGAAAGAACCATTTAATATGAAATCTATTAAAAATTAGGGAGTGGTAGCAAATATATGCTTAAAAATTTGTTTAATTTATGAATATAATAGGTTTGTTTTATTTACTACTTGTCTACCACTACAGATTCAATTCCCAGATATATATATGTTGAATTTCTCTCAAGTACTTTTAAAATATATGCCACCATAATGATGCATAACACAAAATGTTTTCATACACTGTATATTATTTTATGATGTATGGGTTAGGGGGCGTAGCGCGGCACAGGCATCCAATTTGTTTTAAATAAAGAAAAAAGACTTTTAAAATAGAATTTGGGTTGATGCGCACAAGTGGTTCGCTTTTCAAGTAATCTGCGCAGACTACTTATAAGAAACCGTATGGAGGCTTTCTGATGTAGGAGGCGTTGGATGACCTGGAGCAACAGCATCATGCTAAATGAATACAGTTAATCTAAATTTTTATGGGATGAATTTCTAAAAACATGTTTTGCTTAATATAATAAAACAGCAAAGAAGAACAAGATATGTTAATTAATAAAAAAATTGGAATTGTATAAGTTTTAATTATTGTATTGGTATATATTTTTCAGTTTTGTGCCCGATTTCTTATGGTTGTTCAGTAATGATTTATTTTTAAAAAAAATTAACCTGTACGAAGAGGGTTTTCAGCTAGTGCATTAATAAAATTATAATTAAAGTCATTAAGAATTTCTATGCTTTAAAAATTTCAACGTTATATCACAAGTGCTGGAAAAAAAATTCATAAAAAAATCAAATGTTGGAGAGTGTGCAAGATATTCCAAATTGATACTAAATGGGTTATTTCAAAATTTTGCATCTATCACTTTTTTAATAAAAATTTAATTCTGAAATTGAAACTGAATCTTTTAAATTGTTAATCACAATTTAAATGTGATAATTAGTGAAGACATTTGCCAGTATTTTAAAATACTGATAGATTTTGAACTGAAAGAAACTTGTCTTAGCAATTAGTTTTTCCCCTTCAGTTCACTAAAATCGCGGTTGTTGAAAATTTTAAAAAGTGGTAACGGAAATAAAAACAAATTTCGATATTTTAATTTCTGTGTAGTCAATCATACCTGTCAGCTTGTAATCTCTCCGAAGATGATTTACCACAGTGGTATTAAGATTAAAAGTAAGTTACATTTATACTCGAAAATTTATTTTGCATTTGGCGTGTACTTTACCCCCACAGTGTTAATTTTCACTACCAAACATACGACAGGTACTCAACTTCATATGACAGTCGTTAAAAATTTTATTTAATAACCATTGTTGAACTGCCGACCCAATCTTAAGTTTACGACTACCAATGTTCAACTCCGCAGCCTTGTAATTTTGAACCCAATCCATAAGACAAGGGGATTCGATGGAACTAACCCCCATTTTCGTTACAGGAAGAGGAAAACTTAGCACGGGTTACCTGATGGCAAACGGACTCTTACCCAGCATCCGTCAACCACTGAGGTTATTTTACGTCAGCACTATGGTCGGTGCGAGCCGGGTGAGAATTTCGAATCGAGCAGTCATCACTGGGTTTTAAATTCAGATCACTTCATTGGGAAGTGAGCGCTCTATCGTACGAACCACTAACGGCTTATATAGTCATTAACAATTGGAAAAAAATCTATGTTTCTGAGTCGTCAAATTAAAAGTGTGCGATAACATGTTTACACATGTTTATACCATTCACACCTGCTAATAAACTTTGTTGAAAATCAAAGTTCACCCCAAAGAAATTCAATCGTTAAGGGCTCTGTAGCTGAAAAAAAAATTGGTAACAGCTGCGTTAGATGTCCTTTAAGCGAATAGGAGAAAGAATCGGAAGAGAATTGAATGATATTCTTGATATTAGTTTTTATAAGTATTGATATATTGCCCTTAATTAAAATATTGACATTTTTTTTAAAAAAATAAAGTTAGAAAGTAGAAGTTTGGTTCTGCCCAAAATATTCATTTTTTGTCAACCTTTTGGGTTCGTGAAAAAAAAAACATTTTCTAGTTTAATTAGTCCGAAACTAATTAAAAACTTAAAATAAATGAGGCGCATTTAGTTTTTAAGTATGACCTTTCTAAGATTTAAGTAAGTAATGGTAAAGTAAAATATATAAACAAACAAAACCCTGCTAAAAGTTTTCGCTAAAGGGAATTACGCTGGGGGAAAAAACGACTTTGGCTTAAAATAATTCAAAAATTAATCTCCGCGTGGATAATATTTTAATGATCGAATGTTTTTTATCACTACGGTATGAAAATTCAAAATTTCAATTTTTTTTTTTTTTTTAAATATTCGAGTTATGATAGTGCAAAGTACTTCAATACTTTTCGAAAAGTTTTCGTAACAACGGTAATGGTGGCAGAAATGGCAGGCAGCAGAAATGGCAGGTGGCAAAAATGGCACAACGGTAATGGTGGCAGACTGATTATTTAGTGTTGCATAAACATATCATAAGAGAGTGAAGCTTTAATTTGGTGTAAAAATATCATATAAACGGCTTAGTGCTGGCTAACACATGACACCCTTATTATGTCAGTTATTGAAGTTGCACTTTATTTTATGCCGAAAATACACATGATTTTAAATCAAACAATGGGATTTAGATAGAAGTTTTCTAATCTATTAAAAATTTAAATGCTCTTATTTAATTGATTCTGTCAATATACATTGCTTATTCTTTTGTATACTTATTTTTCTTTTCTTATCTTTTCAGTACCGCAGATAACACTAAGTGGTGTACCTTATTTGTTTCAAAAATTGCATACGATAATAATCATGTACAATGGTGTACTGAAGTCAGAATTGAAGATTTATCAGCGAGAAACATTTAAATATGAGGCCCTCTCGGATGATTGATTATCCGTGAAAAAACAAAGTAGAATTTGTTAAAATGAACTCACTAGATAACGGACATGTTGTTGTACCTCAAACACTGCATGAGTCAGCTTTATTGTGTAGAGATTTTATCCACTCCGAATTTTATTTCAATTGTAAATATGTGTTATACAATATTGTTTTAACATGCAATATATATTCATATTTTTAGCTGTCTGTGTTCAGTATCGCTGTGAAATATAGAACTTTGTGCTGCCATCTAGGCAATAAAATAAGAACTATAAAGGAATTAAAAATGCCAGCAAGGACAAATTTTCATCTTTTAATTCGACATGATTATGTAGATTCTATATAGTTATGTAGATTTTTGGCTTTTTTGTTATTTCGTAATTGGTTTTTATTAATATTGTTTATTTAATTAAAATTAAATGGTAAAATTTTGTGCAATAATTTATATTTATATTTCGTTTCAAACTTTTTATTTAAGTGTGTATTTTAATTTCGATATCAGGCTATTAGCATATGCATGTAACAGATATTAATTCTTTATTCACTTAAGTAGTATATATTACATCACAATATTTTAATTATTCGTAAATGAATTATTAAAATCACGTTTTTATAATTAAATTTTACTATTGCATCAATAAAAATGTAAAACATAGAAATTAGAATAGTTTTCAACAAATAATTTTAAGGAAACTAAAGTCTCTATGATAATTCGGTTAAAGTATTTCAATCTATTAATTTAACAATTCAATCTATTAATTGCTGTAAAGTACGTTAAATTACACTTTTCTATGTGAGATTAGTTAGAAATTGTTGAAAAATGTGTTATCGCTTAGAAAATAAATATATTTAACTATTAATTTAAAATAAATTGCAATTTATTAAATAAAAAAAACATGTTATTTTTGATTCCACCTGGGACCGAACTAGAGAAAGCTATTTTCCTACAGTTATAGGTAGAAAAATTGTTGTTATTGAGATTGTTATTATAGATTAAACTGTAATTTGTTTGATCTACGTGTATTATTTTTAAAATTGTAATATCTTGTGCCAATGATATTTCTATCTTCAATTTTAATATTTAACACCGAATTTATGTTATTATGGTGTATTGTATACTTATAGAATTTTCGAAGGACATGAAAAACAAAGTTTTTCGACATCTGAAGGCTTCTTAAATTTTTTACCCTCTTTGTTCTAAAATAATTTATCAAAACTTTTAACAAGTGATTAAAGTTATTATTTTTGTTTATTTATGTATTTTTTAAAACCTTTTTGTTGACGTTATAAGTAATAATAGTTCAATAAAAATCAATTCAACAGTTCTATTAAGATTCGATATTGTGTCAGATAAAAGCGGGATTATTTTTGGATATGTAAAAATCCATATTAAAAAGACGCTTATTATTTAAGAATGAAAAATTTTTTAAAAAAATAATAAAGCTGAATATGAAATTTTATTTGTATCTAATGGTGTCATTAGCTTGATGTAATTTAACTATTTCTACCAATCATATATTAATCTTACCGACTTAGCAAATTGGAACGTTTGTGTACATTTGAGTAATTTATAATCAAAATATTGTTATGACATTAGATTTTTAAAGATTTAATGCATTAAGTTTAACACCTTCCAAAATTATTTGGAAAAATTTAATGCATTAAGTTTATCTCCTTCCAAATAAATTTTAATTAGAAATATCAATTTGATAATTGATTATCAATTGAATAATTAGATGATAATTAAATAGAATTACAATTGAGTAATTAGATAATTGGTTATCATCACTAAACATTTTGTGGTTTATTGAAGTTTCAAAGTGTTATGACGTACAATTAATTATAACAAATTAATTCAAATAAAGAATGTTAGAATTGTTTGAAAGATAATTTATGAACGAGTACTGTACACCATTTTTGTGTAATTTAAATTATCCCTTTATTGCTGGAAATATTATGAGTTTCAAAAAAAGGCGAATTTCTCCGAATAACAATTTTTCAATATTATTGAAGATGATAGCAAAATTTATGCATTAAAATCAGTTTAAAAATATTTTTGATCATCTTGACACTCAAAGAAAAATCAACTATATAAAAGATCTGATAAGAAGTTTATTATATTATTAAGTGCTGTCAAAACAACAAAAAACATTTGTCTACCTTTTAATTATTTTAGAACAATTGTAAAATATTGTGGCGAGTCAGAAATCCCAAGTTTTCATCTCTGTTCTTACAACTCTAACGATTGTTGTAAATTTCGTAAAATTAAATTCAGTGAATATTAAAATAAATTTTTACCATTAATTAACGATTCAGTTTGAAAAAAAATACATCGTTTTTCAAAACACAAATTATTTTTTGTTCATTGTTGTTAATTATTTTTAGTCCATGCATATATATTAGATGGAATCGCATAAATGAATTCTAATAATGAAATAATTTGGTTTCCTCAATTCGCCAGTAAGGCTAAACTTGAAAATACTTCGAGCAATATCGAGTTAACTTTGTAACTGTAGATTTATTTAAGTTTATTTTCAAGACATTGTGATTGACTTATTATAATTACTTATTTGTAGTGATTATTACGAAACTGGCACTATTATTCTTTAAAATCTTTTAAGAACTGTGTTTAGCATGCTAAAACCTACTATTTTGATTGCACCAGACGTATGAAAAGGGTTAAGAAAAACAGATTTCAAAGGCATTCCTGAATTAGTGCAGGCATTAATTATTCAAATCTTATCCTTCATTAAGCTCAAAAAAAATATTTTTCAAACTATTTATCCCCATTAAATATTAATATTTTAAATCATATACATTGAACTTATATTTAAACTTCTTTAAAGAAAAAAAGTATAAAACTTTATATTAAAATATTTAAAAATAAACAGCCGAATCTTCGCCTCGAAAATAACAAAAAACAAACCCGTATTATCTTTTTATTTAATTACTTACAAGAGCAATTATCAATTACTTATAAGTACATATTGGAAATTTTAAAAGCAAAATCATTTATTTAAAATACATCATCATAACTTTTAAAATTTAATGACTTCGAATACAAATACCTACGAATTACAAACAGACTTTATTGCTGTATTATTTAATGCAAAATGTCTTGCTCAAGATTATGTTTCGATTTACCCAGCTACAAATGTTTACTTTTATATAAAAATAAATAAATAAAAATTGAGCCTAAATTGTTTTTAACGTAGCCAAAAATGCACAAAGTGTGGTTCATTACTTATCATTGAATTATTAAAGCTATACACATTTAATTGCAACTTTCAATTTAAAAAATAAAATTTTATGCAATAAATTAAGGTCCTTCCAAATGCTTAAAAAATATTAGCATTAATATTTTTCATAAAGGAAAGAAATAATACTTCTTATGTTATGTCAAAAAAATCTTGATCTGTTCCTCCTAAAAATAAAAAAAAATTCTTGACTATGGGAACAAAATTTTGCAAAGAATTTCACAAGTATGTACGATCATGAAGAATAATTTTTCCATCTAACCATGATATTAGTTTTGAAATGATAAATTTTAATCGATGAATCATTTTCGAATTTCGCTTTTGAAACTTTATATATTGTAGCAGTAGGGAACAAATTGTTTTGTTTGTTTTTCTGCTGCAGGAAATTTTTGAACGAATCTTAGAAATTTGTTCCCTAGTGTAATTATAACTTAAATGTTTTTGCAAAACAATTGCTTAGTAAACGCCATTAGCACTCAGACGCGTTTATGGGCCAGAAAGTTTTTTTTATTTTAAGAATAGTGCTAAGTTTTAAAAATTGTTTGTTAGTAGACACGATCAGTTTATCTATTTCGAATAAAATGCTAAGAGGTACATCCCAAAGGATACATCCGCCATCTTGCAGACTATCATTGTTTAAGGTTGTTCTTTTTAAGGTTGTTCTTCGATTTCATTCCTTTTGTCAAAAGAATTAAATGTTTTTTGATGAATAATATGGCATTATGACTGTTGTTCGCTTATAACGGTTATACGAAACTGTTAAATTCTTTCGATCTATAGACCGCTTGGTCTACGAAAGGACGTAAAATGTGAATATAATGAAAAGTCGCAGATTTTTGAAATTTACTTTTGATCTAATTTGATAGTTTTTAAAAAGTAACTTCCACAACTTTGTTTAACATACATAACATACGTTAAAATTAAGAATTCTTCATTAAATTTTATGATTTTTAACTAAGTTGTCCATGAATAAAAAATTCATAATTTCCAAAAGCTTCAAGCATGATCTTTCAAATTGAGCTAACAGATTTGCAATATGAAATCTTCCAAAACCTTTATTGCTAAAAGAAAGCTTGCTTTCGAGTTAGCATAGAAGTGCTTCCTTCATTTTGGCCAACTATATAT